TTGTATAGATTTGGTGATTTTGGTTCATAGTATCTTTTTTTCTGTGAGTGATGATGAGCTACAGACCCACTGTAAATATAGCTCAGTGTTATATTTTTCCTGTCCAAATTGTAGCTTGTCATATATGAAATTAGGGAACCAGACATATTTATTTTGCACCTCTTGAAACTATATATATCCATGTTCAAATTCACTTGCAATAACTGCTTTCTTATCTGTATGCAGCTGCTTGAAATAGCACAAGTTCCTGATGAACATGTGAGTCTCTCTCTCTCTCCTGTTGTTTTAATGTGACCATGACATCTCTATGCCTTTGTTTGGTGGGGATTAAAATCAGATTTTAAGTAGATTTTGATAAAAGATGATGAAATGTGTGGCTAAAAAGTTGTAGGTTCTATAAAATATGTGGTTAAAATTAAATGTTGACTTTGACTTAAATTAAAATTTGGATTATAATTTCTACCAAATAGGGGCTATTTGGTAGAAATTATGTAAATTTGTGAATGCAAGTTCAATATCCCCAAAACTTGGCTAAGGAGACTGTTAAATTATGTAAATAATATATTTTTATAGCATGACATGTTATTCAGTTTCATTTTCTTTTATCACCAGCTGTAGTTGAAACCAAAGAAGAAAAAACAAAACAAGTATGAGTAAAAGTCAGGAATGAATTTTGATCCACCCTCTAAGAGTTATTGGTATTTCAAGGTGGATGTCACATATTTTAAACATGCGAAAACTTAAAACTTTTGATTCACAAGGAAAGAATCAGTCGGATCAGTTAGGAATTACAATTAATATATTGGATAATGTAGAGCTGCATAAAGTGCAATGTTGTACCAGTAAGACTTTTTCTCAATTTTGACCTTGTAAGAAGGTTGAAGAAGTGAAGTGAGTTGGGGAAAATATGTTACAAGAATTACCAAAATGGAGTGGCTTAATGTACATATGCAATCCTATGGCCTGACTTTTCATTCTTTTGATATGAAAGTATGTCTCTTGTGGTGGTTATTTAATTCCCAGGTTATAGTTATCTATCTAATGCTTGCTTGGGATGTTTGTGGATGATGTAGATATTTCCTCTTGCATGCAGGTTAATGAATTTAAGTCGATAGAGAAGTTCAAAATTTTCAACACAAACAACTTGTAAGCCATGACAGTACCTCACTCGAATTAGTTGTTGGATAATAATGAATATTTTTCTTAGGGAAATTTTAATAATACAAATGGACCACAAATCATGCAGGTGGGTGAACCTGAATGCAATCAAAAGACTTGTGCAAGCAGATGCACTGAAGATGGAGATCATTCCCAACCCAAAGGTATCACTTTATTTCAAGCAGTCACCTGAACATGGCAATTTTTATAGGGTAGTTGCAATCTGTCTAAAGATATTTTCATTTCCAGGAAGTGGATGGAATCAAAGTTCTTCAACTTGAAACCGCTGCTGGTGCAGCAATAAAGGTACACAATCACGTGTCATTTTTCTACATTACTGTCTTATAATTTTGTTCAACTGCTCCTTCTCAAAAGTTGTACTGATTACCTTTTTGTTTCCCACACATGTTGTCAATCAGTTCTTCGATCGTGCTATTGGCATCAATGTTCCCCGTTCTCGATTCCTTCCGGTGAAAGCGACTTCAGATCTGCTTCTAGTCCAAGTAAATTTAATCTGATTTCAAATGTACATGCAGACATCTAGAT